GGAATATACAGTTCTGGCCATGCGTTCTGAAAGGCTGGGAATACAGATCTGGCCATGTGTTCTGAATACACAGCTCTAGCCATGCGTTCTGAATGCCCGGGAATACACAGTTCTGGCCATGTGTTCTGAATGCCCGGGAATACACAGTTCTGGCCATGCGTTCTGAACGGCTGGGAATACACAGCTCTGGCCATGCGTTCTGAATGCCCGGGAATACACAGTTCTGGCCATGCGTTCTGAACGGCTGGGAATACACAGCTCTGGCCATGCGTTCTGAATGCCCGGGAATACACAGTTCTGGCCATGCGTTCTGAACGGCTGGGAATACACAGCTCTGGCCATGCGTTCTGAATGCCCGGGAATACACAGTTCTGGCCATGCGTTCTGAACGGCTGGGAATACACAGCTCACTGCCAGGGTCCCTGCATCATCAGCTTGGCGGCTCTTGGTGCCCTTGTAAAACCCACACCTCTGGACAATGCCTTCTCTATTTTCCCCAAATTTCCAACAAGCAAGAGGTTACTTGTGAACTGGACCGTTTGTAGTTGGTTTTCAAAACATCTGTGTATGTGACGCTTTGGGGGTACGAAGGTCTCCCTCCCCAGGTGAGACTCAAGAAAGGTCCAAGCAGAGCGAGGGAAGGAGGGAGGCAGCAAAGCTCAGTCCCCTGGCCAGCATCCTGCCCACCCCTGCCCCGCCCCTGCCTGAATGCCCGGACCTCTCTTTCAGCTGAAGATGATCTTAATAAAATGCTGTGACATCTCTAACGAGGTCCGCCCCATGGAGGTTGCAGAGCCGTGGGTTGACTGCTTATTAGAAGAGTATTTTATGCAGGTAAGACACTCCAAGTCACGCAGCTCGGAGGGTTCCTACCGGCCCCGCCCAGGGCAGAGCTTGCAGGCCGGGCAGGCCTGTGGACTCTGCCCACACGCGCAGCGGGCTCATTTCCTGCTGGTGGACACGAGCCAGGGCATAGCAGAGGGTGACAGCCACCAGTCCTGGCGACAGAGCGGCGGGCACGCGGGAGCCCAGGAAGAGTGGGGGCAGTAGGTCCCTGCTCGTGGCCCCACGGAGGCACACGTGGGCACTTTGTGCTCAGCGGTCGGCGGCTATTGGGTTAATGTAGCCTGCCTTTTACCACAGCGGCGCCCGGTCTCCCCAGATGCCAAGGGCGTTTCTGTCTTTACATTGCTGTCCACTGCGTTCCCCAGAGTGACCGCGAGAAGTCAGAAGGCCTCCCTGTGGCCCCGTTCATGGACCGAGACAAAGTGACCAAAGCTACGGCTCAGATCGGGTTCATCAAGTTTGTCCTCATCCCCATGTTTGAAACAGTGGCCAAGGTGAGCGAACAGCGCCCATCCCACAAATACACACGCTTCAGCTGTGTGTTTTACACACCTGTGTCATGCACACACGCATCCATGCCCTGGGCACGTGCGCACAGAAGGCACAGGAGCCCTGAAGCTGCATCCTCTGCTGCCATGGTGATGTTGCCCCTCCTGCTGCCTCAGCGCCACACGCAGCCCTGCGCCATGGGCGGACACCCATGTAGCAGCCGGCACCACTCCCAGCCCGAGACCCAATGGGCAGCACCAGCTCTGGTGGCTCCCCTGTCCCTCCTGACCCCATCCCCAAAGCAGCAGCTGGTGGAGATTCTCCACTGAGGAATGACGGCCCCAGCCTCAGTCTCCCGGCCTCCTCTGCAGCCCCGCCCACCCACATCACTTCCTGCCCTGCTGCTTGCCTCTGGGCCCCAGAGCCCACACCAATCTCCCACATGCTAAACACTCACCCGCCCGCCTCCTGCAGAGCCTTCCCCGCCCAGGCCTTCCACTCCCAGGCTACCAGCCAAGAGACTCCTCACCCCTCTGCCTTGAAATTGCCCATGCTGGCCCTCATCCCCAGGGTGGAGGACAGGGGAGGGGAGAGGGCCTGGTGAGTTCCTGTGAACACCCACAGGGGGCCAGCAGCCTGGAAATGTGGGTGGGTTTGACCTAGTGCCTTTGCACCCGTCTCTTTAGAGTTGGGGTGAGTGTAAACTTGGGGTCTGGGGCCCAGAGAGCCCAGTGGTCTCTTGCCCTTTCTTTTTCCAGCCCTGGGGCTTGAACTCTGGGCCTGAGCACTGTCCCTGAGCCTCTCTCTGCTCAAAGCTAGCACTCTACCACTTGAGCCACAGCACCACTTCCAGCTTTTTCTGCATATGTGGTGCTGAGGGCTTCATGCATGCTAGCTAGGCAAGCACTCTACCCCTGAGCCACGTTCCCAGCCCCTTGTCCAGTGTCTTAAGAGCAGTGAGCGGGTGCTGACGCTCAGGCCGTCCGTCCCCAGCTCTTCCCCGTGGTCAAGGAGCTCATGCTGCAGCCGCTCTGGGAGTCCAGGGATCACTACGAGGAGCTGAAGCAGCTGGACGACAAGGTGACGGAGGTGAGGCGGCCGGGGCGCAGGCCGGGCCACACACGCCGCGAGGGCTTGCCTCCAGAGGGCGCGAGGGTTCAAAGGCAACATCGGCGAGATCCCGAAGTCCGGGCGGTTCTGAGGCCTGGCCCCGGATGCCCTCCCATGCTGCCATGCTGGCCCTAAGAGAAGCAGCTTTGAACAGAGGTGCAGGGCTGAGCCCCGCTGGCTGCGCCTGAGCCCCCCTGGGGGGCAGCCACTCCTCCCGGCCGCTGACTCAGGCCTCTGCTCTGTCCAGTTACAGAAAAAAACGGAGAACTTGGCCTTGGAGAATGCTGAAAAATCCAGAGAGAAGAGCAGAGAGGTGAAACACGGTGACGGCCACGCTCTTCCAAACTGATGTCCCCAAGCATCAGGTAATTCAGACTAACAGGTGGCGGGCGTGGGGAACAACGGAGTAAGAAGACACGGGAGTCCCAGGGCTCCATCTTACAGAAGCGACTCCGGCCTCAAGGTGGACAGACCTGACCCACACTCAAACCTCAGTCTGCACAGTGTTTTAAAATAAGTGGAGGGGCTGGGAAGGTGGCTCAGTGGTAGATGCTTGCCTCGCATGTGTGAAGTCCTGGGTTTGATTCCTCGGCACTACATAAGCAGAAAAAGCTGGAAGTGGTGCTGTGGCTCAAGTGGTAGAGCGCTAGCCTTGAGCTGAAGAGCTGAGGGACAGCGCCCAGGCCCAGAGTTCAGGCCCCTTGACCGGCAAAAAATAAGTGGAACTTTAGAAAGGGCCAGGTAGCTCATGCTTGTAATCCTAGCTGCTCAAGGGACGAAGATCTGAGGATCACAGGTTCAAAGCAATCCAGGCAGAAAAGTCTGTTGAGACTCTTAACCTCCGATGAACTGGCAAAAAGCCAGAAGAGGAATTATGACTCGGAGTGGTAGAGAACTAGCCTTGAACAAAAAAAGGCAATAGAATGTGAGGCAGAGTCCAAGCCCCAGTTTGGCATAAAAATTAAAGTATGTGTAACTTTTTTTTTTTTTGTCGGTCGTGGGGCTTGAACTCTGGGCCTGGGCGCTGTCCCTCAGCTCTTCAGCTCAAGGCGAGCGCTCTACCACTTGAGCTACAGCGCCACTTCCGGTTTTCTGGTGGTTTATTGGAGATAGGAGTCTCACGGTCTCTCCTGCCCGGGCTGGCTTTGAACCGCGATCCTCAGATCTCAGCCTCCTGAGTAGCTAGGATTACAGGCGTGAGCCACCAGCGCCCGGCTTAAGTATGTGTAACTTTAATTCCTTACATGTAATAAGGATTCAGCTCTGAAGAAGAGGCGTAGCTAGCAGAAACCCTTAAAATCAGAATATGCACTACTTAGAAGAGAAAGTCCTTTGTAACATGCAACTGAGGTACTCTGCTTTTCAAAGGCAGTGGCTCAGCATGTGCCGCTGCTCGAGTTCGGCCCTGAGCCCTCCTGGCAGCACCCGTGGCCAGTGCACGCATGACCGCGCCACGCGCCTGCCAGCCTGAGGCTCTCAGATCGCCTGAGCATCCCTTAGCTCCTCCTCTCAGGGATGGTCTCTGCCACGAGCCATGTCTGACGTCCCACAGACTTTCCTGCCCCAGCTGGCTTTGCGCATGAATCCTCAGCTCTCAGCCTCCTGAACAGCTGGGATTATAGGCGTGAGCCACTGGTGCCCTGCAGTATCATTTCACTCGAAGTCGGGTCATGCATGTCCTGAGTGGCTCCGAAGCAGCTCACTTTGCCCGCATGGGGCCAGTCTGTGTGGTGCAGAGATGGCTGTGACCCGCCTATGGTGTTCAGTCCCCAGATGACAGACCAGCTCTCTCTACTCACAGCAGACTACGGAAGAAACTAGCAGAGCCGTCACAGGGCCGAGAAGAGCCGACGGAGACCGAGACCTTCTGTGCAGGGAACGGCCTCGGGGAGCCCTCCCCTGGGTACTGGCTCCGGCAGACCTCCTCGGCGGCCGAGGGACGTTCCTCTGGCCACCAAGCAGCCAACACTACCGGACCACGTTTTCTACAACCACTTTGGTCACTAATGCAAAGGAGGGAATTCGTGACGTTGTACAGAATTTTTATTTTTCAATTGTCTTCTAAATAATATATTCTTCTACAGAAACGGGTGCTGTACATTTTTCCTGTAGACGTGTATCCGGCTGCTTCTGGCACATTCCCACACGGGGCTGGTCGGAGGACGCCAGCCAGCCCCACACAGACCCATGAACAAACCCGCATGATGTGATGCCGCGTCGGTGTAAATTCCACATTAAATGTCAGAGCAGTGCCGCAGCACAGGGCGGGAGCTTGGCTGTGTTTCTGTGCTGGAGTTGCAGGACCTGCGGCGGGCTGAGCAGGATGAGTGTGGGAACCTGGGGGGGGGGTCCCCTAGCCAAGGGACCACAAAGGCTGGGTGCTCCAGATGGGGTTGGGGGCACTTAACCTGCAGATCCCAAGCCGGACACTGCTGGCTGTCATCCTAGCTACTCCAGAGGCTGAGATCTGAGGCTCTGGTTCAAATCCAGCCTGGGTAGGGAAGTCCATGAGACTCTTTATCTCCAACTAACCAGTAAAAAGCCAGAGCAGAGCTGTGGCTCAAGCAGTGGAGTGCCAGCCTTGAGTGAAAAAGCTGAGGGAGTATGAAAGGCGTGTGCAGTGCACACACATCACACACCTGCAGGACAGGCCACAGCAATCACAGGAACCATGGAGTAGAGTAGTTCCTTAATTTCAGGTAATACTTTAGAACAAAGAATAAAAACAGGGAGGAGGGGGCGTGGCTCCCGATGACTGAGAAGCAGTGACCTGCTAGGCACGTGCGCCCCGTCAGGGTCTAAAACACAGAAAGCTAAGACAACGGAAGGTTACCCAAGCCACAGCTAGGGCTAGACACTTAAACACTGCAGTGACCAAAGATGAGATGTAAACAAAAGTGAAGCAGCTGATGGTGTTCTTCACTCACACCAGGCCAGGCTCACAGACACCACAGCCGACAAGCAGGCCTATAGCAAATCAGGGTGGATTCTGAGACCTCAGTCCAATTGAGCCAGAACTCAGTTAACAGAGGAAGTCTGGGGAAAAAACTCCAAATGGCTGTTCAACCACGCCTCCGAGTAACCTGCGATTCAAGGAAATCACAGGGAAATTAGAACCAGCCATCCACGATGCCACCTGATGGAATGCAGGTGGGAACCACGCAGGCTCGCTTCCCGCCCGCGCCCCCTGCTGGCCAGTGGCTGACAAGGGGCTCTAACTCCTGGCACATTAGACTTTGCAGGCTCCACGTGCCGGCCTGGATGCTGGATGACTCCACATGCTAGGCCCAAATCCAATGACACCCTGTGGACCTTTCCAACCTCAACACTGCACAGGAAGGTCTACTGAAGTCCGACCGCTGTCAAGATGGTACTTAACGAGGCCCAGCAATGCCACTCCTGAGTGGTCAGCCCTCCGCAGCCACAGGATTCTCATCCAGACACAACTAACACAGGCCAAATTGGAAAGAAGCCATGCATGTGAACACACACACACAGTTTTTCCCCAAGCTCGGTAAGGCAGCCCCTAGCGTGGCGTGGCCGCGTCTGGGGGAGGGGACACAGCGGTGGTTTAGAGTATATGGAGGTGGCACAGGCTGTGTGTGCCTGGCACCCGCGTTGCACAGGAACCGCTCTCCCGAGGACAGGGTGGACGATAGCATGTGTGGCCCAGAAACATGTCCTGTGCTAAGTCTCTGGGTCGCCCCCGACGGCTCACAGCCGGAGCTGCAGCGCACCCCCGGTGTTTCACACTGCAATGCCCGGCATGGCAAGGAGACACGGTGGGCTCGGGGCTGGGCAGGGCGGCAGAGAGGAGGGGTCACCCTTGCCGTCGGGCTGGGAGGGGTCCTGGGGGTCCTCAGCAGCCACGGCTGGTCCCACGGCTGGCGAGATCGCAGTCTGCACCGCTCACACTTTCCTGCGGCAGGACCACTGGACAGAGGGCCTCATGACACCAGGCGGGGGCTCCGCCACTCCAGCCACGCCCCCGGCCTTCCAGTATTTGCTTTGAAATGGGGTCCCGCTAACCTTGCCCAGGATGGCCTCTAACTCTCCGTCCTCCTCCTCCCCCTCCGCAGGGGCGGGGGTTAGAGGCGGCCCCTCATCTTATACACACCTTCCACACACCGCAGCCAAAATGAAACCCTAAACCACAAGAACTAAATGGCCAGATGTTTTTAATCAAAACAAAGAAAAAAATACATTGGATGTTCCCCAAAGCAAAATATACAGACAGTAAAAGGATGGAAAAGAAAAAAAGGGGAATACACGCGAGCCAGATGACAGGTGAACATGCTTTGCCATCAGAGACGGAGACACGCAGGGACAGGGACAACGCTGTAATACAAAGAATGCACACTGCTGCTGAGGTTAAAACCTGTAGGCCCAGGGCTGGGAAGGTGGCTCAGTGGCAGATGCTCGCCTCGCGTGCATAAGGCCCTTGGTTCAATTCCTCAGCACCACATAAGCAGAAAAAGCCAGAAGTACCACTGTGGCTCAAGTGGTAGAGCGCTAGTCTTGAAATGATGAACAGCACCCAGGCCGAGTTCAAGCCCCACAACAGACCCCCCCCTCAAAAAAAAAAAAAAAACTAGCCAGGCGCCGGTGGCTCACGCCTGTCATCCTAGCTACTCAGGAGGCAGAGATCTGAGGATCGCGGTTCAAAGCCAGCCCAGGCAGGAAAGTCCGTGAGACTCTTATCTCCAATAAACCACCAGAAAACCAGAAGTGGTGCTGTGGCTCAAGCGGTAGAGTGCCTTGAGGTGAAGGGCTGAGGGGCAGCGCCCAGGCCCAGAGTTCAAGCCTCCTGACAGACAAAAAAAAAAAAAGGTAGAAAACACTATGTTGAAAATGAACTTTACGGGCTGGGAAGGTGGCTCAGTGGTAGAGTGCTTGCCTTGAGCTGAAGAGCTGAGGGATAGTGCCCAGGCCCAGAGTTCAGGCCCCACAACCGGACCCCCACAAAAAAAAAAGAAAATGAACTTTACAACTTGGGGGGGGAGACAGTTGTGGAAGATGGAGGGAAGGGACAGTAGGGGAAAAACAAAGGAGGCAACAATGTTCTCATTACCTTGCTCACGTAACTGTAACCCCTCGTACAGTATTCTTACAATAAAAAACCACCAAGGGGCTGGGAAGATGGCTCAGTGGTAGAGTGCTTGCCTTGCATGCATGAGGCCCTGGATTCGATTCCTCAGCACCACATAAGCAAAAAGAAAAAAGCCGCAAGTGGTGCTGTGGCTCAAGTGGTAGAGCGCTGGCCTTGAGCTGAAGAGCTGAGGGACAGCGCCCAGGCCCAGAGTTCAAGCCCTATGACCAGACCAAAAAAAAAAACCCCACCAAAACTGTAAATCCTTTACCTGTCGGTCAAGGTCCCATCAAACCTACCGGAAATGCTAGGGACAGTGGGGTACATGAGCAAGTATGACAAATGTCCCAGCAAGAACAGAGCTGCGCGTGTGGCCCAGGTGCCCAGGCGGTGTGGAGGGACATCGCGGTCGGAAGGACCAGGCAGGGTGCTGGCTGAGGTCCAGCAGAAGCCGCTGGGGAGGCGGAGGGGCCGCTGCGGTGGTCACAATGTGCAGAACGGGGGCGAGGCGGCAGCACACACTTCTCCGCTCCATGCCCACCGATGCCCCCCACGCCCCAGAACCGGTGTGCCCAGGAGCAAAGAGCACCAACTGAATCAGTGGAGGCTTCACGCATGCAAGTGCATGTCACCGGTGGCGACCTGCACACAGGTGGGCGTCTCTGGGGACGGGGACGGGGTAGGGCCTACAGGAGTTGGCAGGGTGGGCCCTGGGGACTGTCAGCCGCTCAATGGTGCTGGGCCTGTCACATGTGCACAGCAGCCTGGTCATCCATCTGGAATCCTCATTCCTCAGAAGGCTGAGACCTAGAGGATCGAGGCGCCAATCTAGCCTAGGCAGAAACGTTTGGAAGTCTCCATCGCCAGCTGGCCAGCAAAATGCCCACTGGAAGCAGGGTTCAAGCAGTAGAGTAGTAGAGTGTCAACCATGAGCAACAGGCTGCGCTAGAGCTCCTGAGGACAAGCCCTGTGCTAGTGTAGTGCCAAAACACAAGTGGAAGCAAGCACCGGGGAGCTGAGCGGCACCCCGAGCCTCTCCCGAGCCTGGGCTGTGCACGGGGCCCAGGGCTGTGGGAGGGCTCAGCCTGGCCTGCCAGAGAACCCACCAGTCTGATGAGGAAGGGGGAGAGTGACACAGGAAGAACGGATTTCTACAAAGAAATCCACCAGCCTGTTCTTCCCGGGAGGCCAGGGCTCACACCACAGCCAAGACTGGTCCTGGAGGGGGCACAGTCCCGTGTTGAGCCTCCCATGCTGGAGGTCTTGCTGCCCGAGGCGAGGGTCACCTCCCACACAGCACTGTGCTCAGACTAACAGTGGCAGGAAGGCAAGGCACTTGGGGGAGGCAGAAGCAGCGAAGCCGCTGGGCGGCAGGACTGTTTCTGGTAGGCAAGTCATCGCCAGAGCACACAGCGGTGCCTACCGCGCGTGGCAGAATCACCAAAGAGCCCGTGTGAGCCGGGCACCCGTGGCTCACGCCTGCCATCCTAGCTAGTCAGGAGGCTGAGATCTGAGGATCGTGGTTCAAAGCAGAAAAGTCCTTGAGACTCTTATCTCCAATAAACTGCTCAGAAAAAGCCAGAGGTGGCTCTGTAGCTCAAGGGGTAGTGCACTAGCCTTGGGCAAAAGGAGCCTAGGACTGCACCTAGCCCCGGAGTGCAAGCCCCAGCACTGGCCCAAAAAACAAACCAGTGCGGGCCCAGCACAGGCCGAGGGCCTTCCCAACAGCAGCCACCCTTCCTCCGGAACAGCACACCTCTAAGCATGGAACAGCACACCTCTAAGCATGGAACAGCACACCTCTAAGCACGAACAGCACACCTCTAAGCACGGAGACGAGCTTCTGGTGTTGCCGCCGGCCGTTCCCGAAGCTGCACAAAGCCCATCTTTACTGATCATGATTAGCTCCAGATGACACCTTGCAGTGTGCACGGAGCCTCCCGCGACCTGCTCCACATCAGTCACCACCCTGGAGGCCGAGGCCGGCACCGGCAGGGGACCTCCTCACACACCTGGCTCGGGCCTCTGCAACCTCTGCACCGGTGCCTGCGGGAGCACGAGGCGCTCACGGCGCTTTCCATACCAGAACTAGTGAAAAGCTGCCAGACAAGGGCTGTATCCAGCGAGGCAGAACGTTCTGGAGCCTGGAGAGCAGGGGTTGTGCTGTGCCGAGCTGCTGGAGACCTAGCTGCGCCCCGTTCCTGATGAGGGCCGCGGGCGGGGGGAGGGGGCTCCGGCGGGGTCGGCAGGTCAGGGCTGCGGGCCGGGCCGCGCCCTCTTGCTGGGCCCCGGCGGAGGGCTCTGCGGCCGCTTCCTCCCCCGCTGCTGCTGCAGCCTCTCCCCCTTCTTCCTCAGGTAGGAGGCCATGTTGTCGAAGGTGGCCTTGTAGAGGCTGCGGAAGCTGTCCTCCGCACTCACGGAGCCTGTGGCGGGAAAGATGAGAGGCGGCTGGCCCCACAGCCACAGCCGGAGCCGGGCCCAGAACCCCGGACGCCAGCGCTGCCGCGAGAGGGGCGGGGCCGGCCCCTCCCAGGACCTCTCCACCTGCCACACCTTGACCCACGAAGGCCAAGGCGAGCAGCTGCGCTGCTGGGGCACGGGCGGGCAGGCCCCGCGGGGCTGGAGCAAGCGGCTCCCGTTCTGAGTTCAGGTCCCTCAGCCAAGGACCCTCCCCACACAGGGACGGCCCCGCTCCCCCTGGGCACGCGCTCACCTTCCAACATGGCCCAGTCCCCGCGGAGCCGGCTGGAGAGCCTCTGGGACACGGCGCTTTCACAGACAGGCTGGAGAAGACAAAGAGCCCGGATGGAGGCTGGGAGCACCACACCAGGACATGCGCCCGGAGCCTCAGCAGACTCTCGGCACGGCCGCTGCACCGCTGCCGCCGCACTGCTGCCCAAGACGCAGAGAACTGGGAAGAGGCAGGAGGCCGTAGGACGTCCCGCATACCCGCCCTGCCCCCACCCGACTCCGGAGACAGCTTCTGCGGGCCAGGCTTGCCCAGCACTGCAGAAGGGAGGCTGCGGTCCACAGCTCCTCCCTGTCTTCGTCCAGGGCCCCAATGCCACGCACAGGGCCAGCTTCACCACTACAGAGGAAGGTGGGATGGGGGGGGGGGGGGGTAAATGCCTGAAGCACGGCAGGGACAAGATGGCCAGCTCCCAGGTCCCTTCCCCACGCCAGGCCTCCGCTGTGGTCCATCAGGAAAGGCTGCGACCCAGGCGAGGCTGGAGGGGCTCAGGATAGTGGCGAAAGACAAGACAGCAGCTCAACACGGACACACGCGCGCGTGCGGTGGAACCTCACCTGCCACTGGCCATCCACAGGCCTCCAGAGCATGAGGGGGGCCTCGCGGCAGTCCTGCAAAACCCACAATCCCCGGGCGTCCTCGAACACGACGTCCCACACCCGCTGGGGGAAGCTGAGCTGCTGTCTGAATACCAGCTGCCGTGTGTCAGCATCGAGCTGGAAGACGAACACGGCAGGAACGCTTCCCAAGAGAGAAACAGTTGCGATCAGGACCTCAGGCCTGGACGGCGGCCTGCACACGCCAACCCGGCCCACAGTCCACACTGCACAGCCTCCGCACACGCCAGAGGCCTCAAGCTGTCCCAAACCCCTGTGGGGAGGGGGCTCTGCAGTCTGAACTCTGGGTTAACTTGTTATGCAGCAACAGATGGCCAGTGCAGGACAGAGGGTAAGAGAGGGTGTCATGGACAGGAGTGGAAAAGCAGTTCCTCTCTCCCCTGCAAACCTGTGCCCTCAATTCTAAGACAGCCGGGACTGCTGCCCAGGCCATCAGAGCACAAAATGCAGAGCATGGAGAAACCGAGACCTGCCTGGCCAAGGAAGAACACATGCTCAGGACATGCCTGCTGTGCGGCACAGCACCCCTACACCCGCCCTGTGCCACCCCAGCTCTTGTGGGCTGAGAGGGACTGAACTGCCAGGCACAGCAGCTCAGGAGGAGCTGCCACCCTTCAAGATGGCGAGTGTGGGCACCACACGAGGGACCCACTGCCCTCACACCAGGGAGGAGCTGCCCCACGGCACTCGCTCTCCGTGCCTGCCTTCCCTCCTTCCAGGCTCTCCAGGACAGAGAGGTGGCGGCCCGGCTTACCAGTCACACAGAACTGCCACGCAGCTCTCCTGGCCCCAGAACGTAATCCTGGATGCAGCAAGGCCCTGCAAGGAATAGCAGCTGAACCCCACTCTGAACCCCAGCCTACAGACCGCCATCAGAGCAGGGCTCAGCACCACAGCTCCCTCACACTGCCCAGGGCCAGGCGGGTGTAATAACATCCTCACAGCACTGCCGGGCGGGTGTGGGTGGGCGGGCGGCAGGGTGGCAGAGCTACCTGCGGCCCTCCCTGGCCTGCACGCAAAGCCACCGGACAGGAGGAAAACAAAGAGGGATTTCTACCAGACAAAAACACCATGGGCGGGCTGGGAAGGTGGCTCAGTGGTAGAGTGCTTGCCTTGCATGCATGAGGCCCTGGGTTCGATTCCTCAGCAACACATAAGAAAAAAAGAAAAAAAAAAAGCCGGAAGTGGCGCTGTGGCTCAAGTGGTAGAGTGTTAGCCTTGAGCTGAAGAGATGAGGGACAGTACCCCGGCCCAGAGTTCAGGCCCCACAACCGGACCCCCCCAAAAAAACAAAACAAAAAAAAACACCATGGGCACAGCCATGCTTCCCTAGCAGGAAGTGTTAAAACAAAGTCAGGCGTGGTGGCTCATGTCTATAGCCTCAGCGTTTGGGAGGCTAAGGCAAGAACAGCAAGTTCATGGCTAGCCCAGGGTACTTAGAGCTCCTGTCTAAAAAAAGGGGGAGAGGGCACTAGTGGATCATGCTCAAGAGGCTGAGATCTGAGGATTAAATTCCAAAGCCATACTGGACAGAAAAGTCTTAGACTCTCCAATTAACCACCAAAAAGGTAGAAGTGGAGCTGTGGCTCAGCTGGTAGAGCAACAGCCTTGAGCAAAAAAATAAAAAATGGAATGACAGAAAGGGTGTGACACCAATCAAGATGCGTGGTACTCCTAATTTGACTTGCTGAATTGAAATCTCTTTGTACAAAAACGTAAAAAAAATTTTTTTTAATGAAAGAATCTTTTGGAAGTCTTAGGAAACTTGAGGAAAAGTCCTGCAGCTCCAAGCTGGCCTGGTAGAGGGCAGAAGCTCTAACACCCAGTTCTCATGAAACACACCAGCCTGTGGGGACCTAACCAATGCTCACGCTGTGAGGCGCAGCAGGATGGACAGCGAGTGCCAGCTGGCCCCATCCCAGCCACTCAGGATGAGCAGGCCAGGGTCTTTACCCAGAACCACTACTTTCCAATTGTGAGTGTGATTAGCTGTTTGGACCACATAATTCCCACCTTGTGACCAGGTACCTCTAGAACTGGAAACATGGACTGATACTTCTTCTCCGAGTGGGAAAAAGTTTGCCATTAATAGCAATGCCCACAACCCAGCCCACTGCAAGAGGCTGTAGGCAGCTAACACCTGAAGTGAGCACACAGCTACCTTGTGGTCCTTGGATTCCGCCGGCGCCCACAGGCCAGCCAGGTCGCAGCAATGGAGCTGGAGGCCACTCCTGTACTCCCACAGCCGCAAGGTGCCGTCCTGCACACACAGATGACACACGGTTAGCACAGGGTGCCCAGACGCAGGAAAGCGCCCAAGGGTCACACGCCTAAGCACAGGTGGAAGACACAGGGGGCTCCACACTGACCACCAGGGTTTCCTTAGAACAAAAAGCCCTCTGTGAAGACAGAGCAGGTCATCAAGAAAACAAACCGCCTGGGGCTGGGAAGGCGGCTCAGTGGTAGAGCGCTTGCCTTGCGTGCATGAGGCCCTGGGTTCCATTCCTCAGCACCACATAAGCAAAAAGAAAAAAGCCGCAAGTGGCGCTGTGGCTCAAGTGGTAGAGCGCTGGCCTTGAGCTGAAGAGCTGAGGGACAGCACCCAGGCCCAGAGTTCAGGCCCCACAACCGGACCCAAAAAAAAAATCAACTAAATGGCCAGACTGGTAACTAAAGTCCACACGCAGGGTGTGGGGCCAGGCATGTATGGGCCACCACCCAGTAGCAGGCACTTGTGGCCCAAAGCCAAGCTGGAAACAGCAGCCATCTTCATACAGCCTTCCTGCACTAGCAGAGCACTTACCCCAGAGGAAGACAGGAGCAGCTCGGGGTGACCGGGCACCACAAAGATGCGGCTCACAAACCTGCATGGAGACAAGGCGGGATCACGGCTCCAGTTGGCTCAGTGGTAGAGCGCTTGCCTCGCATGCATGAGGCCCTGGGTTCGATTTCTCAGCACCACAGAAGCAGAAAAAGCCGGAAGTGGGGCTGTGGCTCAAGTGGTAGCGCGCTAGCCCTTGAGCTGAAGAGCTGAGGGACAGCGCCAGGCCCAGAGTTCAGGCCCCACAGACCAGCCTCCCCCCCCCCCCCCCCAAAAAGGGCCAATACTGGGGAAAATGCCAATGTCAGAAGGTGATAGCCTACATGTCCCAGGCAGGCTGGGACAGCATGTGGGGGGGAGGGGAGGGAGTACACACTTCTGGGTCCCCAACACACAACCCTTCTCAGAGGGAAACCTTGCCAGGCAGGAAGTAGCAAGACGCTCAGCATGGCAGCTCCACCCGCCTCCACCAGATGACCGCAAAGCCTCCAACCACCCAGACACACTGGGGACAGGGCTGAGGCCGGCGTCACTGACACTCAGCGCCAACTTAGAGGACAGCTACACGCAAGTCCAAGCTATCATGAGGGGCAAAGAGTGACCACCAACCTTTGGAGGTCCAGTTCTGCATTTGCCCAAGTAGAAAATAGGAGCAATCTCAAAACTGAACTAAAACCTCCAACTGTTTCCACTGCCTCAAATTCTGGATTTTTTAAAGCAATCCAAGCAACAAAACTGTGCTTTCCTATGCAAACTGCTGGGAGAGTGGCCTCTTCAGAAATGCCTCCGCCACTGAGCCCCTCCCCGCCAGGCAGCACCCTGGAGGCCATGGATGGTGTGGCAGGAAGCCACAGCATCTGCCACTTCCTTCCTCACCGCCAGGACTGCCGGTGTTCACCAGGTCCTGACACTGGGAAAGCTTTCCAGAAACCGCATGGAAATGGGGGTGAGGAGTCCACGGGAGCTCAGCTCTCGTGTGCACAGCCTGCTGCCCAGATGCGTGTGCCCTGCCACAGTGCCAAACGCCAGGCTGCCACATCAAGTGAGCCCAGAGGTCAGGAGGCTCTGATGCAGCCCGCAGGGCCGGTGGAGGATGGGCCAGACTCTGCGCATGGCCCTGGCTGGTCTGCCACCACTGGCAGAGGAGGCAGCACTCACTCCGTGTGCCCCAGGCAGAAGGCCTCAATGCTGTGCGGTGCGGCTGCCCAGCTGACGCGGATCTTCTCATCACGATCTGCAGTGAGCACGAAGCGGTCATCAGGACTCACAGCCTGCGTCACCAGGGGTCAGAAGAGAAAGCCATTCACTCACTGGCCTCTCACTGGCATGGCACTTGTGCTGCCCCGTCCCTCCCCCCCCCCCCCCCGCCCCGAGATCCCCCAAGGAAGGCCGCCTCTGAGGCTGTCTGCTGGGAACCGAAGTCCACAGCCAAGGCAAGGCTAGAGACTGGGGGGGGGGACCCACCTCCTACCCCACTGCCTGTCAGGCTGTCCCGGCTATACCACGGGCTGCTCTAGCCCTCAAGGGCTTCTGGGCCCCACCAGCTGGGACATCCTGGGAGAAGCTAGGCCCTGGGAGGAGCAAAGTTGAGGGCACAGAGCTCATGGCACACAGTGAGCACACGCACAGCTCTGGGAAGAAGTGCAGGCTAGAGCTCTGCCACTGCAGCCCCCGGCCGGGTCCCTTCACACGCAGAGCCATGCTCCCGCCGACTTCCCTGTCTTCTTTGCACTGCCATCCTCACTCCTCAGTCTGTCCTGTGCACTCCCCTTGAACTCCCAGCCCTGCCTGCCAAAACCTCGCCCAGGACAGCGACTCGAGGTGGCTGCTACATACCACGTCCAGCAGCATGGACAGGTGCCCGAGCTCCAGCCTGCCTGGTCCCTCGGGCTCCAGCACCGAGAAGGAATAGACGTCTCCAGACTTGTCAGCTACCAAGACCTGCTCCTCGGAGGCCGTGAAGGTGAGCGCCGTGCACCTCCTCACCACAGCCCTGAGGGCCAAAGAGCGCTCTAGTCAGAACAGAGTTCCCACGGACCTTCGGGCCTCAGACAACAGTGTGGCTTACAATGGGAAAGAGCCACTCCCAGGGCTTCTGCTTCAAGACATGTTCAAGAGCAACACAAGGTATCTGCACTAATCACACATGGCCGGCGCTATGCGACTACCCTGCTACTGGCTAACGAGTGATCTGGACACAGGCAGGCAGGCAGGCAGGCAGGCGAGGCATAGCTCTGACAGAGCTAACTCACTCTCTACCTGTGCTCAGGAACTTCAGCGCTCTGAGGGCCCAAGTCAGGTCTTGCCATGCACCTCACTTTGGCTTGTATACAGTTTTTCATAAGAGAACTATCCACTGGCTGAAATCTGAGGATCATATTAAAGCCAGCCCAGTCAGGAGACTCTTATCTACAATGATACTCTTATGAACAATTAATCTCTCAAAAGGCTGAAGTGGAACTGTAGCTCAAGTGGTAGAGCACTAGCCTTGAGCAAAAGAAGCTGAGACAGTGCCTAGGATCTGAGTTCAAGCCCCAGGACTGGGGAGGGAAGTGAGAGTGTTCAAGCCAGGTACAGTGATGCATCCCAGCACTCAGAAGGCTGAGGCAAAAGGCTCAAATTCCAGCCAGGTGCTGCAGGCTAATGCCTGTAATCCTAGCTCACTCAGGAGGCTTGCAGTTCAAAGCCAGCCCAGGCAGGAAAGTCCCGGAGACTCTTATCTCCAATTAACCACCAGAAAACCAGAAATGGCACTGTGACTCAAGTGGTAGAGTGCTAGCCTTCAGCAAAAGAGTTCAGAGACAGTGCCCAGGCCCGAGTTCAGCCCATGACCGACCAAAAAAAAAAGAGGCTTAAATTCCAAACCAGAGATGAAGGTGAAAAAAAAGAAAAGGAAGGGAAAGGAGGGAAAAGGAAGAAAGGGAGGGAGAAAGAAAGAGAACTGATTTAAAAAAAAGGAGGAAGAAAGGAGAGGGAAGGAAGAGGGGAAGATGGAAGGAAGGAAAGAGGGAGGAGGAAGAAAGAGAGGGAGGGAAGGGAGGGAAGTTGGGAAAGGGGAGGGAAGGAAGGAAGGAAAATGAGAAGGAAGGAAGGGAGGGAGGGAGGGAAGGAAGGAGGGGGAAAAAGAGGGAAGGAAGGAAGGAGGGAAGGAAGGTGGGAAAGAAGGAAGGAAGGAAGGCAGGCAGGCAGGCAGGCAGGCAGGCAGGCAGGCCCGCCCATCCGTCCCTCCTAGTAGGATTTGATATAAAATCTTCTCATCCTTGCTGCATGTTCAGGAAATGTTGGGGAGCCATTCATGACTACTGTGTCCTTGAAAGACAAGGATAAACTCTAATACTGCACATGCTCTGGGCTACAACTGGAGACAAGAGTCCCTATCTCCAACCCTCCCCGCCCACAGGGTGCTTAGCCCTCACCTCCATGACAAGTGCAGGTGAGCAGCACCACCCCACCCCTCGCAGCCCTGGTAACAGAGGACATGAGTGAGGACAGCACCAAGCTCCTGCTTCTGAGAAGGGCAGGAGGGAGAGGAGGCGTACCCATCAAGGACCACAGAACACCAAATCATACTGGGGAACCTAAAGAGCCCAGCCAGCATAATGCGCCACAGTGATACCACCCGACAAGACCATGGAGGCACCAGCTCCAGAGACAAAGGTTCACAAAATGTAGGCTTCCCCGAGATGTGGTGGAGGCGGCCTGAACAGAGTTTACTAGACTGTGCTGGGTGGGAGGAAGGCGAGGCCAACCTATCCCAACACCTACCTCGCCCTCCACCTACCCACTTCCTACCCAGCCACATGGGCTCCCTCATTTCTGAGGAACGCAGGCTGATGGCCCTGCTCCTGCCCGCCGTGGGAATGGAGGAGCACTGTGTGTAAAGAAGACCAGCGCAGCAGACATGACACGTTGGCCAGAGAAGCTGCCTTAGTCTACTGGAAATTGGTTCATACACCAAAGTGCTAAAGCAGTATCTGAACTGTAGCTGGCACTCCACATGAGTGGTTTATTACTATGGTTACTGTCACTACTACTACTGACATGCAGGTACAAGGGGTGTATGTGACATCTTAATGATTCAGTGTGAGCATTTCATACCTGACACTCAGACATTGCCATGGTTTTGTACGGAAAAGAATCAGACGCTTACTGTCATCAGTTAAAGCAAAATAGCTGCCAGACGTGGAGAAGGTGGACGCCAGAATCATGTCACTCCCTTTGTCCACAGGCTGTCTGTCCTCCCTGAGACACAAGGAAAACAGTTAGACTTCACCTTGGAAAGCCTCCTGAGGCTTCAGTCCTCAGTGGCCAGCATCAATTTCTCTCATGATCTAGGAATAAAATGTCAAATTAAGCGATTTAAGTACCCAAAACACAACGACCTAGTGGGAGACCTCAGAAGGTTCAGAGAATATTTCTCAAACTATAAGAATGAAGCCTAAGTAATTGGTGTCTCTCAGTGAACATGATAGTATCCAAAAAATTGATCCGGAAGGGCCAGTTCTTCTGAGTGTTATTAAAAATAATAACAGAAGTGAGACATAAGACCAACTATACTAAGGAACACACAAATCACATGCTCTGCTTTTTGTATCTTTCAGTTAGATGAAGTTACTTAGCATTAGCTTCAATTCACTTTAAATGTTCACTCTTATTTCAAGAAATGGAAAGATAGTTGATTGCTAATAGCAACTAAAGATATTTAGAGAATTCCTAAACATGCCTAAATGAAGAGACTGTTCCACCTTCCTTTCTTGAGGTGGAACTCATTTATCCACATTTATCCATGGGGAAGGAACATTAAGAAGTCAAAGAATAATTCTCCTCTCCCAGCTCACAGGCCTCCCCGGCACCTCACCCATTACTTTCTGGTGCCTTCTCTTCTGTTGTACTGCAATCGTACATGAAGACACTGTCATCATCACTAGAAGGAAATGACAAGAATGAGCAGTTGGTTAACAAAAAGGTAGCATTGCTTCACCTTCAGAACAAGCAACATTTGCATACTCATTACATTAAGGGTCTTATCAACTGATTCCCCCCCCCCCCCCCCCCCCCCCCCGACAAAACGGCCTATGTAGTGTGTCAGGGGAAAGTTCAACTCTTCTCTAAAAAGCTGTACCGTCCAGCTATGACCTTGTACCTATGCCCCTCCCCACCAAAGAAGGAAGGAAGGAACCTGCAACAGGACCATGCCTGCTGCCCTCTACTCAAGAGGCTGGGAGCTGAGGGTCAAGATTCAAATCCAGCCAGCAATGACCTTCAAACTCTAATCTCCAATCAACCAGAAAAAAGGCCGGAAGTAGAGGGGTGATTTAAGTGGTAGAGTGTCAGCCTTGAGCTAAGGGGCAGTGATCGGGGCTGAGTTCAAGCCCCAAGACGGGCAAAAATAAATACATAAAAAGTAACAGGAAGCTGTTCCTTCAGGCACTATACAATCAACACGTGGGTCTAAGAAATTACGTTCCGACACTGCTGAATGTTCATCGAAACCTTGCATCCCAGTTTAAAATAGCCATTAAGAGCCAAGTGTTCGCCTACAGGGAAAAGCCGCTCTCCTCCGGCAGGGCTGAGCCCCACTCCGCTAACCCGCCCCTGCTGCGGCCCAGGAGCGCCTCGAGGTGACAGCGCCCCGCAGGACGGAAGCCGCCTCCCACGCCGCCGCTCCCGCCGGCCGGGCCCCAGGCCGAGCCCAGGCTCCAGAATCCACGTCACGCGGGGCGCGGGGCCCAGCCCGGGCGCGGGGCCCAGAGGCGGAGGGGGCCCAGAGGCGGAGGGGGCCGCCAGGTGAGACGCGCCGTGGTGGGACGGGACGCGCCGCGGCCGGCTCCCGGGCCGGGCTCCGGGTCGCCCTCGCGGGAGCGACCCCACGAGAGGGATCGGAGCCTTGGGGAGCGATCCCTGACCCCGCCGCCGCCCGCGCGCCCACCTGCTCGCAGTGGAGGTGGCCAGGAAGCGGCTGCCGCCCCGCACCACCAGCGCCTGGCCGCACAACGCGAGCCCCGCAGAACTCGCCATGCGTGCACCCCGCCCGCCGCGCCGCGCTTCCACCGCGTGCGTCCCCCGGCGCCTCGGCCGTCGGCGCGGGGCAGTGACGTCGCGCGCAGGCGCCGCTCGGCCCCGCCCGCTCGGCCCCGCCCGCTCGGCCTCGCCCAGTCCGCGCCGCGCCGTCGGCCCCGCCCGCTCGGCCCCGCCCGCTCGGCCTCGCCCAGTCCGCGCCGCGCCGTCGGCCCCGCCCGCTCGGCCTCGCCCAGTCCGCGCCGCGCCGTTGGCCGGGCCGGGCGTTCCGCTCGTAACCCTGGGCGGCCGTTCGGTGAGGTCCACCCCGACGCCGTGTCCCAATTCCCCGTGCCCTTCTCCTGCGTGGCGTTAGGCTCCGCCCCGCACGGACGCCGCCGTCCGTCCTGAACAAACGCGAGGCTCTAGTTAGCATCCCTTAGATGCGTCTCACTCTCCCTTTGTCCTTCAGTCCGTCCTCCTTTTCCCCTTCTTCCGGCTCGCCTTCCTCCTCCTCCTCCTCCCCTTATCTGCTTTCCTCCTGACCTATTCCTCCGACCCTACCCACTTCTTCCTCCCCCCCCCCCCCCCCCCCCGCTCCTCTTCCCATTCTTCTCATCCTCTCCCCTCACTTTCTAAACTACCCATAGCTTTCTATCCCCTTCCATATAAATATTACAATTAGAATGTCAAGTTTTGATTAGAATTGAATGTATTCGATTGTTTTGAAGAAAATCATGTTTATGATGTCTAGGAGCACCTTTTCATTTGTGTCATCCCTTTCGTATCAACAAAAAAGTTTATCATATTCCTCAGGGCATATGCAATATTTTATATTTACAAAAAAAGGCAGGGGGACTCGACAAGCGCTGGAGGCTCATGCCTGTCATCCTAGCACTCAGAAGGCTGAGAGCTGAGGATCGCGGTTCAAAGCCAGCCCCCGCAGGAAAGTCCATGAGACTCTTATCACCAATAAACCACTAGTGGTAGAGCACTCACCTTGAGCTGAAGAGCATAGGGACAGTGCCCAGGCCCTGAGTTCAAGATCCACAACTGATGAAAGAAAGAAAGAGAGAGAAAGAAAGAAAGAAGGAAGGAAGGAAGGGGTCATAAGTGGGGTGCCAGTGGCTCATGCCTGCAATCCTAGTTACTCAGGAGACTCAGATTTGAGGATCACAGTTCAAAGCCAGCCTGGGCAGGAAAGTCCGTAAGACTCATGTCTAATTAACCACCAGAAACCCGGAAGTGGCACAGTAGCTCAAGTGGTAGCCCGCTAGCCTTGAGCCACTTCTGACCAAATCAAAAAGAGTCTCATGGACTTTCATGCCAGTATGGCTTTGAACCAAGATCCTCAGTTTTCAGCTTCCTGACACGTGAGCCCCTGACACTCTGCAAATATTGACTTTGTGATCCTCAGCTAGTGGCACAATTGGCAAGTGATTAGATCATGAGGGCACTAACTCCATTAATGGGTTAATCATTTGATAACCTCGTTGTTGAATGGCCTGCTAGGTGGTGAGGCCTATGTTTTGAAAGGCATATTTTGCCCCACAGCTTCCTGGGGCATGTTCTTTCTCTGCCACGTTCTGCCTCACCCCAGATGGAAAGCAATGGAGGTGGCCCATTCTGGACTGTAACTGCTGAAAACATGAGCCTGAGGAATTTTTTCCTCCTTTTTACTTGTTTTCTCAGGCATGTTGTCACAGTACAAAAAGCGAACACAGTGCCCAACGTGAGGGGCACTGATCAACACTCTGCTAAAGTTTTCATTTTTAAATTGCCTCACCCTGACGTTAATATTGTAAGCCAGAAACAAGGTCAGTGTATGCGGATGGATAACGAATATTAGGAGACCACATTGATGACACATCAAATTACCGCAGTTGGAGCTACTAAAAATAAAGTGGGTGGCTCAGGCCTGTAGCTCTAGCTACTCAGGGGCACGAAGATGTGAGGATGGTGGCTCAAACCAGCCAGGACAGGAAAGTCCGTGAGACACGCCTCTCCAACCAACCAACGGAAATCTGGAAATGGAGGTGTGGCTCAAGGGGCAGAGCTCCAGCTTTGACCAAAACAAAATCTAAGGGACAGAGGCTGGGCCCAGTCCCAGCACAAAATGAATAACCCACAGAGCAGGGAGACTATCAAGTAGGACCCGAAATACGGGCGCGGATCATAAGGCTGTGCGCCTGGGGAGAAATCCCAGACAACGCTGCGGGGACAAGGACACGGGAGGGCAAGGTGATCCGGTGGAAAGCAGACCTGCCCTCCGCGGGCGCCGGGCAGACAAGGGCCGCCCCAGTAGCCTCGTCGGATTTCCGCAGCCACGGGGCGCAGCGCGGCCGGGCACCCCGCGGCCGAGCACACGGCAGGGTCCCGCGCCCCCGTCCCGACCAAGTCCACAACGCTCCGGGGCGGGGCCTCTCGCGCCGCTGCCTGGGATTGGTGGCTTCGGCCTTAGGGGCGCGGCCCGGGGAGCCGCGGAACTCGGAAGTCGCTGGAGTTGCGCACGCAGGCCTCGGCCCCGCCCCCTGTGCTGTGAGTGGTGAGCGCGCCCTCAGGGGCGGGTCCTCGGGCGGCGTCCTCCGGCGGGTTCACGTCCCTGCCTGCGACCTCCGCCGGCGGCGTCTTCACCATGGCGGCCTGGGTCCTGCTGCGGCGTAGACCGCCGGGGGTCCTCAAGGTAAAGGAGGAACCTGCCGCCCCGCCCCGCGCGGCCGCGGAGCCGACGGAGGCCCGGGTGGGGGCGCCCTCTGGCCGTGTTGGCGGCGTCACTGCCGACCTCGGCGCGGTGACCGAGGAAGGCCGGGGGGGTGGGGGGGGAAGGCGTCCCGCGCGCGCCCGCCGCCCAGGCCCGGGACCGCCCACCCCCCACCCCCGCCGACCCGGGACCCGGCGCGGTGACCGAGGGAAGGCGGGGGGGAGGGGGAGGCGTCCCGCGCGCGCCCGCCGCCCAGGCCCGGGACCGCCCACCCCCCCACCCCTGCCGACCCGGGACCCGGCGCGGTGACCGAGGGAGGGCCGGGGCCCGGGGGGGGAGGGGGAGGACCGGCCCGCGCGCGCCCGCCGCCCAGGTCCCGTACTGCCCATCTCCCACCCCCGCCCACCCGGGACCCGGCGCGGTGACTGAGGGAGGGCCGGGGCCGGGGGGGGGGGACCGGCCCGCGCGCGCCCGCCGCCCAGGCCCCGTACTGCCCACCCCCCATCCCTGCCGACCCGGGACCCGGCGCGGTGACCGAGGGAAGGCCGGGGCCGGGGGGGGGGGGGGGGACCGGCCCGCGCGCGCGACCGCCGCCCAGGTCCCGTACTGCCCACCCCCCACCCCCGCCCACCCGGGACCCGGCGCGGTGACCGAGGGAAGGCGGGGGGGAGGGGCGTCCCGCGCGCGCCCGCCGCCCAGGCCCGGGGCTGCCCACCCCCCACCCCCGCCGACCCGGGACCCGGCGCGGTGACCGAGGGAGGGCCGGGGCCGGGGGGGGGGGGGGGGGGGAGGCGTCCCGCGCGCGCCCGCCGCCCAGGCCCGGGGCTGCCCACCCCCCCACCCCTGCCGACCCGGGACCGGCGCGGTGACCGAGGGAGGGCCGGGGCCGGGGGGGGGGGGGGGGGGGGACCGGCCCGCGCGCGCGCCCGCCGCCCAGGCCCCGTACTGCCCACCCCCCACCCCCGCCCACCCGGGACCCCGCGACCCCGGGCCAGCCCTCCGCGCCGCGGGCAGGCAGGCTGCGCACCCCACGACTTCTCCCTTAGCCAGGAACCTGGGGGCCGCGGGGGGCCAGCCTTGTTGGCGGCTCATAAAGAAGGCACTTTTTTCCCTTTTCAGTGTCTCGTGGGTTCAGAGGTGACACACAGCGGGGTGGCGCTGCTGACACCCGGCAGTGCGCGCATTTCCTGTCGCATAGCGTCGGCTGTGCCCTCACTCTCGCCCATTCCCCAAGGAACTGTCAGGGCCCGGCTTGACCTGGTGACTCACGGGCAGGTGAAGCCGGCTTGGGTCACCTGACTCGGTAGAGGAGGGCTTGCTTGTCAAATCCAAGGGACTTGACGATCTTAAAAAGTAAGAAGTCAGTCTATACCATTTTAGAAATTTGTGTTGGTCCTGGATTGGAGTCCGGGCCCGGACGCTGTCCCTGGGCGTCCTGTCCTCGAGGCTGAACTCTTCCACTGCAAACTCCACCCTCAAGGACGTGCAAGCTTTTACTGCAAAAATAATTGTTAAGTGCGGGTCAGAGGGAGAAGCCATTGCCGCATGTTCACTCACCCCTCCAGTCATCCCGTTCCCTCTTACATGTGCAATAATGTGTGTACATGCACGCCGGGGCTGGGGGCTCACGGCTGTCATCCTAGCTACTGAGAAGGCTGAGAGCTGAGGATCACGGTTCAAACCCAGCCTGGGCAGGAAAGTCTGTAAGACTCTTATCTCCAATAAACCACCAGAAAACTGGAAGTGGTGCTGTGGCTCAACTGGTAGAGTGCTGGCCTTGAGCTGAAGAGCTCAGGGACAGTGCCCAGGCCCAAAGTTCAAGCCCCACGACTGACAAGAAAAAAAATGTGTACATGCTTATAGTCATAAGCAAATGCTTGCACTTTTTTTTGTTGTTCAGAATCTAGCATCTGGAGAAGTAGGCTTTAGTGAGTATCTGCTGAGTGAATCACAATGTTAGATTTTTTTTTACTTACATTATAACACTTTCTTAAGTTTTTTGTTATAAAGGTGATGTACAGAGGGGTTACAGTTACATAAGTCAGGTAAAGCGTATGTTTCTTTTTGGACAATGCATTGTAACATTTTTGAAGAAAACATTTATGTGGCAATTTTTGTGATAACACTTCTGCTGTATTACTTTGTAAACTGTTTTGCAGGAAAGCAAAACCATATTTTGTAGAATAATAGGAAGTTAGAGACTGAACAAGCATATATGTATAGGAGAATATCTTTGTTTTTGTGTCCTGAGGTTTGACTCTTATCACTTGAGCCACTGCTCTACTTGTCCTTTTGGTGGCCAATTGGAGATAAGAATGTCATGGACTTTCCTGCTTGGGCTGTCT